TTTACTAATTTTACAATATCTAGCGATATGACCTATTTACGCATCTAAAGCACGTGAATTGTTTTGGGGGTTTGTCTATTTTAGAAAAATTGCTTTGTTGAAAAGGTTTTTCCTAAATGTGGGTTTGTATGTATGGTTCTTACGATTATTTATGGTTTTACTAACGATTATTCATGGTTTTATCACATTGACCTTTGCAGGTTATTGTTTTCTTGGTTTTCTTTCCTTAAAAGAATTTCTGTGATGATTGTCAAATTGTTGACAAAAATTTCCTAATTCTTTTCCTAACTATTTCATCTCTTTTTGCCTTTAGTAGGCGAGTTTTTCATCTTTGCAAATTTTCATTCCAACTTTTTGGACAAAACTAGTAATTGTCCATAAGTTAAATTGTCATATGGTATAGTACCATCATATTGTTTCCTATTTTTTCCTAACCTTTTCAGCTAAGATGTTGGGTAAACCAGCCAAAAATTTAACCTTCCAATAGGCTTTGTTACCAAGCATTTGCATAACCCTAACAAAAAATGTTCTTTATACCATCTATAATCATGAAGGGTTTTGCATTTTAAGTTCATTAGTGTAGCTTGACTTTTGTCTTAGTTTTGTAGGGTCTCTACAAAGTGGAGAGTTATCACAAAATTAAGGTATTACAGCCTCCTGAATTTCATACATCTTCATCCAAATTGGTATTCCATTATCATAATTTTGATTGCGGTAAGAATTTCACTTTGGTTTTGTCTTGTAGGTGGCTATCCCACTAGGATTTGAGAGAGCCAGTGAAGCCAGCTACCAACAAGTGGGCTATGGCTTGGTCTGTGAACTATTTCAGGCCTATAGGCATTACTGACCATAGTCATTTGTTGTAAGACAAATTTATTATAATCAGACATGATCTATGTTCCATTCATAGAAGAATTGGCATTGTATTTTCTTTGTTGTATTTGTTAGAGTAGATGCCTAGAGCCAATCAATTATTGTAGAATTGACTCTTTGTAATAATGTTCATTAATCATAAAAGGCATTTTATTCTAATTGCGTAAATCATTATTATACAATATGTATTGATATATGTCCTTAGAATGGTGAAACCGTGATGAGGGTATCAAGTGTTTTAAATCTTGATAGTGAGAACCCTATGAGCACAATGGTGGCCATTCTAGAAATGTCCGTAGCCTAGTATTATTCTGAAATAAGGGCACAGATAATACGGTAAGGCTATCATAGTGTTGAACGAACCTGTCGAAAGGTAGTGACTGATCTCACTGTCAAAAATTATTTGGTGATAACCTGGTGCAATACATGGGTGCTTGCTGTAGGTAAATAACACATAGCAAGTTCACTGGACTGGCCCACTAGAGGATTCCATATGGATGGTAACCCCAGTGTCTATGGAACAAAATACTCTAACGAATGGTGGTGCATGTGATCCTTAGACTTGAGATCACAGAGGCGCCTTGTGCACCGATTGGTGCAGTTGACACTAGCCTAATGCAGTTCTATTCAGAGCTGTCAATACAGTGGTGATTGGCTGCATCAAGGAGTGTATCAGATGGTAGATAGACAAAGGATTCTCACTCCCGAGTACAGGAGAAAGTATCTCAGGCACAATCAGTACATGGCAATGACACTAAAACTGTGGCCATAGTGGAAGGAGTTGTTGCTCTGTCAAGTTTTATACAGGTCTTTGGTCTAGAAACTGAATACATAATATCGAGAGTAACGAAGGTTGACACTTTTTCTATGCCTTCGTCTCATCGAGATAACGGATGATGAAAGGATCGAATTGTACGGTAACCATATCATTGACAGGTAGCTACTTTGCTGAATTCGAATCTATGGGTGGCCAGATGCCTTGCTAGGGGCCAATCTTGGTCTGTGTATTAGTGAGAGACGATAATTCGTGTTAATCGCGATACTATACACTACTGTATGATGAGGGCCTATGGGTCACACACATAGGAGATAATTTAAGAGCCAGGAAGAAAGAAGGGGTTTCGTCTTTTTGGGTGAAAGGGTATTTTGATAATTTCACAGTGCAATTAAATTTGCTGAGGTGTAGCCTTTTATTTAATTTGTTAGAAAATTAAATAAGTGAAATTACATTTAAATATATGTTAGCATATATTTAAATAAAATATCATTATTGTTAACTGTTAATATATATATATTAAATATAAAATTGATTTTAATTGAGATATGATGAATTAAAATAAATATCTAATGGAGTGTTTGGAAAAATGGGGTGTTTGGGTTGGAGCCAGCCTATTCCATATGGGATGGGCAATTAAATTTACTATAAAAGAAAAGGTTTCTTGTAAAAGTGAGAGAGATTATTATTTCATTATTACTTTTCATTTGAGAGAAAAACTCTCCATCCCCTAAACACTCTCCTATGCCAGATTTTAGTTTTGCTAAGATCAAAGTTTCTTTGATTTTTGCTTCTTGTTTCCTAAGGCTAAGGAGGATTTAGCAAATCCCTCCTTAGTTCCTTGCGATTGTCTTCATGTGGACTAAGTCGGTTCGATTCTACACTTGGGTTGGTAGCAAATATATTTAGAGACAACTTGGAGGAGCCTCCAAACGTGCGTATGGTTTCTTAAATCTAGATTAATTTCTGCAGATTCTTGTTTTTGCATAAACTGCAATTTCTGTGCCTAATTTGGTTTCTATGGAACGATCCGAGTTTGTTATAACTTTGGTTTTTCCGCTACCTCAAAGGATCATTTCCTAACAGTATTGAGAGGATTATCCAAACTAAAAATTTGGGGCTAAAAACTCTGGATAATACATTTTCGGAGGTTTTTTCAATTCAGTTGTTGATTTGAATAGAATTATACTTGAGGAAGTATTTTGATCATCAGTTTCTAATGATTCTGATGATTCGTTTTACCAATAAAATTTATATGTTAGAAGTTTGGGGGATGTCTGGCACGACAAACACTAGAGATTCTTCTTTTATCTGGTTGAGTTTCTATATTATTTTCTTGCATAAATTCTCTTGTTGGTTAAAGTTTTAGTGTGTTTTGGAGGGATTTCATGGGGAATAAATAAAGGTTTGTTATCAACATTTTTATGGTTGACCTTTCGTCAATAGGTTTTAGGATGGGTTTTGCTACAACGTCTTCAATTCTATTAACTGTCGCTAATAGGATTCAACATTGGTTTGCATAAATGTTTTGTTGATAAATATTTTATATCATTTCCTGATATTTACTTAAATTTTCTTTGACTTTAAAAGGTGAAGCTTAATTCTCTCTTTATAAGGAATCGTTACTCTATAAAGGTGGCTGAATTGAGTTATCTCTTCATTATCTTTTCCTCTTGCATTTTCCACTGTTTTGTTTTTGTTTGGACATTGATTTTCTTTCACTATCAAACCATTGGAAGAAAGGTATAAGGATTCGATGTGTTTTCATAAAGTTGTAATAATTTTGTTGAATTAGATCTCTTTCTTTTTATTAAAGTTTTGAAGAATGTTTCTCTTAATCTTGATTATCTTTTGAATAAAATCATCCTTAAGAAGGTTTATCAATATCAAATTTTTCAATAATGTTTAACTTTGGCAAATCTGTCATTTGGGAATAGGTTGGAGACATTTTTGTGATGTTTGTGATGTTTTTCCATCTTGTTGGGAGGGTGTTTGAACGAATAGTAAGGTTGTGGTATTGTTGAGGAATTATCAATTCCTTGAATATTTGTTTTAACCGGCTAGGTCTAAGGGGGTATCTTATTGAACAAGAAAATCTCTTTGTTCTAGAGTTCTTTGGGATTTAATCTAGATGAGTATAAGGGTGAGTCATCAAAACTTATTTTGGAGGCCTACTAAACCTAATCGGAACCCTTCCATCAGATTTCAGTTATGTTTTCGATTTCTGTATTTGGATTGGCTGGGTTAAAGGAATAGGAATTCTCATTTCTAAAGGAATTACTGCGTTAGCTAATCCCCAATCCTCTAGTAAAGTTATTGGTTCCACATTGATTGTTTTAGGAATGTTATGTTTGATCTTGTTAAATCAGTTGTGAAATAACACTGTGTGGCCTTTGGTCCTGATTAATGGCTCTAGTTTCAAAAGCTGATTGCATTATAATTGGATCCTATAAATGGTTGCTATAGGATGGTTCCCAGTTTTAAGTCATATTAAACGTTTTAATATTTAAAGTTAAAAAGTCTAGTATATTTGGTCATCCAAGCAGACTGTGAAATCAGGATAACAATTGAAATAAATTGGTCCATTGGACAGGCTGGATTCTATTGGCCTAATAGAGAATCTCTAAATCTCAGCCATCACAATCTCTTAACAGCAAAGATGTGCAGTGTCCAAGCCTCAATGCTTAGGTTTGATTCCTATTGGGACAAGTCCTATGAAGATAATTATAACTCTTTTGTATTTTTTAACCATTTCCTTAGATAATAATTGAGTTATTTGAGTAGAATTGTTTATCTTAAGAGTTTTTTCTTCTGTTTTAATTATGTATTTTGATTTGTTTAAAGGGTTAACTCTATTGAGACTTATAATTTTCCTTCTTTGTAAACATCTGTTACCGAAATTTGGGAATGTTCCATTATCAAAATATTTTTGTTAATCTTGAGGTCTTATGGCCTATTTATCTTTTTGTGTACAAGCATGACTTGTTTCAATTATGTTGTCATTTTGATTATACAAATCTCTTCTTGATGAACAGTCTGTTCATCTCCAGTATTTGAACTGGAAGTAATATTGATTTAGAAAAGTTTCTATTTTGTAATCACATTTCTTTCCCTACGTGGGGTCTAAGGGACTTACAACGGTTAAATCCTACAGCCCTACACCAATCCAAAATGACCAGTACTCAAAATAATTGATAAACAAATTTTAACAATCAAATCTCAGCCTCCTCCCGCTCTGATACCAGAGGGAACAAGGATCATTGCACACAAAGAGGAGATAGCAGAGATTAAATCAAAAAAAACACCTTTTTCTTTTAAAGATTAAAACTTACATGCAGCAATATCCGAAGCGATGCGATTGTACCCACCAGTACCGATTGATACAAAAGCTTGCAGCAACGACGACATCTTGCCGGACGGGACATTTATCGGCAAGGAATGGTTTATTTCGTATCATACATATGCGATGGGGCGAATAGAGAGTATATGGGGTGAGAATTGCAATGAATATTTGCCCGAAAGGTGGCTCGAAAATGGAATTTACCGGCCAGAAAACATGTTTAAGTTTCCGGTTTTCCATGCTGGACCGCGAATGTGTCTGGGGAAAGATATGGCATATATTCAGATGAAATCAATTGCGGCATCTGTGATCGAGAGGTTCGTGATCGATGTTCAGAATAGGGATAAGTTTCCGGAGCACGTGTTATCTTTGACTCTAAGAATGAAAGATGGGTTACACGTGAGGGTGAAGGAAAGACGTGTGGACGTGATCAATTGAGCTTAACCTACTGGAAAGGAAGTTGCCAGTTGCTATGGGATCGGGCTTCGAGAGAGAGCCGTGCTTTTTTGTTTTTTATTTTTTAAGAAAATAAAAATTATATATCAACCAATAATTTAGAATGTTTAAGGCAGGTGCCGGAATGTTGCCCAATCTTTGAAAGGTCACGTGCTGTTGTAATTGTCGAAAAAGCTAAAGTGAAAGGGATAAACATATAAATACAATTCGATGTCACTTATTTATATTTGATTCACCGAATTAAAGGCAGGATGGTTTTATCTTGCAGAAAAATCTCTGTTTAGATATGATATATATCTCTTTACTATATTTATTGAGTCCATCTCTATAGATACTGATAAAAAGGATGGACTTGTGACTATAACTGCTCTTTTGTTTTGTTTTTTTTGTTTATAAGCTTAAAGGTTGTAATTGACTTAAAAATTGGTCACAGGTCAGCTACTTAACATTTAACAACCCAATATTTGAGGTTGATTATAGAAATTTTTCTCTCTATATTTAATATTTGAGTTGATTGTAGAATAATTTTTCCACTATATTTAAGAAGTTGACGCTACCTGGACAGGTAGCACAGTTGTTAGAACAGCCTTTCCAACTACTGTGATGCGGATGTTTCCTACTGTTTGTGCGTGCGTTTACCTAATCAGTTACAATACATGGCCACCCACTAAAGTGGACAAGCTAAATTAAATTGGACTATTGGAGGGGAGTTATTGATAATTTGATAATTTCAAGCACAACATGGGCTAAGACGGCCATAACAAGGGTAAAACCAAAAATTTATGTTTGATAAGGCTGGAAAAAAGTTAAAATTATTAATCTTGTTGACATGAGTGTTGATATAGAATTCTGCACCAACTAACGTGATCCGATCGACTTTATCAGGATCGGAATCGATGTGTGCGTGATTAATGAAAATCAGTGATGAATATGAATGAAATGAACTAAGAGTAAAGAGATTTTTAAAGTGGTTCGGCCAGGTTAACAGCCTACATCCACTGTGTTTTTGTATTTGCTGTGAGAGCTTACAATGCGACTTTTATCTGAAATTCGTAACCCCTCCTCATTGTTTGAGAGTGTTTATATACAAGATTGATACAAAGGAAAAAAGGAAATTTAGGGGATTACAACTTATTCGAATCATAATTTCGATATCCTCATGATTGAGCGTTGTGATTGCGCAGTATTCACCGTTGATCCAGTCTTTCTTGAAATATCTGGGATTTGAGTAATCTGGGGATTGATTGAATGATTCCTTGAATTGCTCGTGACTAGCTTATGTTGGGTCGAGCTATAGCTCGGCGAGCTTATGTTGGGTCGATCAATCATTAGTTGCCGAGCTCATTCTGTGTCGAGCTATATCCTCGAGTTGGCTCAAGCTTGGTGGAAATCACACACAACAATGAGGATAGCATTAATAAAAATATAAAAATAAAGTTTATTTAAAAGTAGAATAGTGATATGGAAATAATAGAAAGAGAGTATATTTTGAATTTAAAAAAAAAAAAAAAATTGGAAAGATAGAAAATTCTTATTAGGTTTTATAATTAAAGAGATATTTTAAATATAATTATAAAATAATAATTAAGAATTTATATAAAATTAGAAAACTAAATTTCTTTTTCTAAAAATTTCACCATGGTTAGATATGATATGATAGTTCATTAAATCACGCACATATCCATTCGATTCCGACAAGGTCAATCTAAATTCTCTAGTTAGTGCAGATTTCTGTATCAACATTTTAGTGCTAGAAAGAGAGCTTGAATACTTTGAGCTCTCTCTGTTTTCCAGTAGTTTCTTTTCCATCTTTCAACCACAAAAAAAAAAATCAGCCATGGCTACAATCCATGTCACCAAATCAAACTCTAGAATTGAGGCCGCTGACAGATGGGGAGTATTGAGCATTATAAAGTATGAGTCTGGCAAAGTGGTAAACATAAGAGTTGTAGATCTTCGAGTAAGCTTTCCAACGGTTCAAGAATCATCCAAATCCGAGGTCTGCAGCTCAAGTTATTGTCAAGATATTGAAACATATTTCAGATTGTGCAGCCAAATCTCTCAGATCGCACACCTAGATCTTCCGCTTTAGATCGCGCACCCAGATCTCCATGCTTTGTGATTGAGCTATGCTCTCAGATCAAGTTCTCCACGCTTTCTTATTGAGCTATGCTCTCAGATGAAGCTCTCCATGCTTTCTGATTAGGCTATGCCCTCAAATCAAGCTTTCCATGCTTTCTGATTGAGCTGTGTTTTAGATGAAGCTCTTCATGCTTTATGATCGAGCATAGCTTTCTAATCGAGCTATCTCTCAGATGAAGCTCTCTATGATTTCTGATCGAGTTACGCTCTCAGATCAAGCTCTCCATGATTTATGATCGAGCATAGCTTTCTGATCGAGCTATCTCTTAGATGAAGCTCTACATGCTTTCTAATCGAGCTATGCTCTCAGATCAAGCTCTCCATGCTTTCTGATCGAGCTGTGCTCTTAAATCAAGCTCTCCGTGCTTTCTAATCGAACTCCCGCTCTCTTAGATCAAGCAATTATGCTCTCTGATCAAGCTCTTTATGTTCTCAGATTGAGCGTCTTATGCTCTCTGATTGAGCTCATAGGCTCGCTGATTCACTTGAGATCACATGTTCAAGATCTCTCAGATCGAGCTAGACATAATTCAAGCTCTTCAGTTCGAGACTGCAGCCTATAGTGAGACAACAATTCAGATCAAAGACATGAGTTTTTGAAGTTTGAACTTGCACTCCAAAAACTGGAGGGCTATTGTTGTGCGGGGAATCCGAAGAGGATAATTCCCCATCATGAGAGAAGATATTTAAATTGGCTCAGTTTAGAAAGAATATATTTAGTTTGACTTAGATTTCAACTAAGGTAGCTGAAGATCTTGCAACTTTCTAATCCTATGTATTTGAATCTTACATCAACTCTATCATGTAAATTGGTGTTATATAAACCCATCAGAACTTGTTTTCATGGGGCGAGGCAATTATTTTAGGAAAAGATTCATCATTTGTAATTCTCATTCAATAAGAGAAACAATGGACGTAGGCTCAAGATTCAAACTTGCCGAACCACTTTAAAAATTGCCTTTTGTCATTACTTGTATTTTCTCTTTAATTATTTAATTACTGATTTTTATTAAATCATGAGCACATCCATTTGATTCCGACATGGTCAATCGAAATTCTCTGGTTGGTGTAGATTTTTGTATCAACAGTTAATATTTTATGTTGTTATGTGAAAAGTTATACATATGAATAAATCAAGCATAAATAATTGAATTTGATTGATAATGTTTACTGTTTTAAATTTGAGGGTATTTTATTTACATATCTCATTTATCCCATTTCTTCAAAATACGTTTTCATCAACAAACAATGGAATCTCTGTTCTATATTTCTATTCCTTTCTGCATTCGATTCCCATTCACGTTAACTTCTTATTGAATAACATAAACATCATGCCATGTTTACTTGTTAGAATTATATTGAAAGGGAAAGAGAGTTGGAAAATGATAGATGTTCAAATAGTAAATAAATGATGGAATGAATTATGATTCCATTGTTTATATATAAGATACAATATTGAGGGAATTGAATGATACATTTGATAAATGAGAAAGATACCTGCAATATTAAAATATTCAATGTAATTTAAAATTATGATATTATATTTTCAAATTAAAAGACTAATTATATAAATAATAACAAAAAAATTAATACTATAGTTTTAAGTTCTTTATTATTATTTTTACTTTAATAATAGATACTTTAACTAAATTGTGACAGTCAATGATGATTAATTGTCGATCAATGACTGGTACACTATTCAACAAATTTCAACATCTTTTGGGTAAAAGGTAATTTATAGAGAATGAAAAATGAGTCCTAAACAAGAAGACTATTACAATGGCAAGATCCTTGGACAGGCCCAAGAATCAAGCAGAAAGAACAAAAAGAAGAGACACGGAAGCACAAGCCACCAAAGCATACGACCTAGCCTCCAAGAGGACTATGCAAAAGGACCAGCATCTCAAAAAAAAAAAAAAAAAAAAAAGGCCAGCTATACTAACAAAAAACAACATTTGCACAATTTGCACATAACTAACGAGCCTCCCAAACAGTCTACTGGATCTGTACATAGCAGTCCAAACATCAAACCAACCAACAAAGACACCCAGAAGAGCCAGATTCAAAAAACTTTTGCAGGAGCCCAAACACAAAACCACAACCAGCCACAGGCAGAAGGAAAGAGAACCATGCAGCACAATCCCAGCCGAAGTACACCAGGAATGAAAAACAAACAGAGGATCTGTACTGCCAGCCGCAAGGAACCTGCAGACAAAAAATAACTCCCCAGCAATACACAGCTTAGTAACAGTTCTGGACAGGGGAGAGAAAAGGCTTCTTCCAAGTCTCCAGGTATTCAGCATGGCAAAATCAACAGCCCACAACAATAATCACTAGATTATGAAAATAATGAACGTTGAAATAAAATCATTAAGAGAAAAAATAGAAAATTTATTTTCAAATACGGCCAAAAAAGTAATTTCATTGGGTCCCCTACCGGAAGAATTATGGTTCTAAAAAATTTTAAGGAATCATTTACCCATTGTTGATACAGAATTCTGCACCAACCAGCGTGATCCGATCGACCTTACTGGGATCAGAACTGATGTGTGCGTGATTAGTGAAAATCAACAATGAATATGAATGAAACAAACTAAAAACAAAAAGACTCTTAAAGTGGTTCGGCGAGGTTAACAACCTACGTTCACTATGTTTTTGTATTTGCTGTGAGAGCTTACAATGCAATTCTTGTCAGAAATTCATAACCCCTTCCTCATCATTTGAGGGGGTTTTTATACAAGATTTGTACAAAGAAAATAGTGAAATTAAGGGGATTACAATTGATCTGGATCGCAATTATGATATTCTTGCGATTGGGCGCTGTGATTGCATAGTGATCG